TTGCTTTGCGGCACAAGGCCACCAGATCTCAGCGGTAAGGACCTGATCACTCAGGAAGTTCTACACCGTCAGGAACTGGTTCACCTCGCAAGGGCAAGGTGCGGGGAATCTGAGCTCTGGGGCCGACTATACTGGGCCGTGAGAGATTGCACGAACCAATGCCGATTCTGCAACATCCCACCGGAACAGTCTGCATATATGCGCTCTAACAACGATCCAACTGCACCGGGGACGGACACTGTTCCCCCGTCGGCGAGGGAGGAAGACTTCTCTCCAGTAAGCAGACGGACCCTCACACGCCGTCGGAAGGAGAAATGTCCGCACTGTGATTCCACATTGACGGGATTCTCGGGTCTCGTCAGTCACTGTCGGTCATTTCTTCCGGAACATCCTCCACCGCTTCCCGAGCTCAAATGTGATTTCTGTGACATGGTTTTCCCCACACGGAGAAGCACCGCACCGCACAGAAGTCGCTGCGCACACAACCCAGACGCCACACGGCATCGAAACAGCAGTGCCAGGAGGCGATCTCTGCTGCCGCAGGATCAGCCAGCTTCCACAAGCACGCCAATCGGCCCGCAGGAAACCTTGCACCATCTGCTTCTAGAATGTCCAGGCACCTTGGCTGGGCGTCAACGGCTGGGCATTGAACAGGACCTTCGCCTCGGAGAGTTCTCTCAATGGCAGTTGCTTCACAGCAGGAAACTTTTGTCGTTGCTCGACCACCTCTTCGGCACTCAGATGGCACTGTATAGCTAGACGCGCTGGTAAGAGTAGAAGAAAAAAAAAAAACAAGCGCTAAACGCTACTGTGAAATTCGAAGGCACTGAAAGGACCAACAGCACACACACCGCCCACGCACACATATTTGTATGCTCTCATGTGTTGCTGCAGTGAAGGCACCCCGCACCCAATACCGTCGATCCGAGTCCCGCACCATCACGGAGAGCAACACGTCCGAGACGAGGCCTGAGTTTGCCTTTGTTCGGAACACAAAAGTGGCTCCGACACCACCCGAAAAAAGGTCCACGCCTGTCACCGAGCCGAAGGAGGATCCCATTGATGATGCGATGAGTGGTTCAATAAATGTTGAGTTACTGCAGGGAGTCGATCTATTTGTGCCGCAGACGACGCTGGTGCAGTCGAAGGATGGGATTGTTCCAGTTACGACGAGGGATTCGTTTGCCTCACCCTCTCCTGTCAGTGCTGGTGGAGTAATTGCTGCTTTCGCCGAGGGTCACACGGATGCCGAATATCAAGGTGGTCAATTAAGTAGGCTCTTTTCTTCTGATGTTCTTGCGAGGTGCATTGACTCTGCGTGGGATTGGTCCACTGTTGTTGGTGAGGTCAATGAAGGATGCATGGAGGGCACACACTGTGCTTGGTGCAGCGGAGGGAAAGGAGAGTTTGGGTGTTGTGCTCCGCCGCACAACAACTACGAAGGGCCACGGAGTGTTTCCTCTTGCGGGAGGCTCTGATGTGTCCTACGAAGGTGTGTGTTGGAGAGAGGGCGGCTTGGAGCTGAAACTGGTTGTGGGCGATGTCACGAATCCCACGGGTGGCAAGCAGAGTGGACGGATCGAATGGGGCGACCCCAAACCACTCTCGAAACGGATCTCTTCTGCTTCTCACGAGGGTGACTGGACGGAGTTCATTGCTTCTGGTGGCGCAGGTGTTGTGATGGAGGATGGCACGTTTGTGTTTCCTCTGATGACGAAGGATGAGGCAGAATACGTTTGCTCCATGATCATTTACTCGACGGACAGCGGCAGTGCCTGGGCGCTCTCTGAGGACATTTCCCCTGCGGAATGCCTTAACCCCCGCATCACCGAGTGGGAGGGATCACTTCTCATGATTGTTGACTGCGAGAATGGCCGGAGGGTGTACGGGTCGCGTGGCATGGGGACAGCGTGGACGGAGGCCATCGGGGCACTCTCAGCCGTGTGGGTCAACGCACGATCAGGAGTCTCGCAGAAGGAAGCCTGCGTGTGGATGCCCTCATCACCGCGACCATTGAGGAAAGGAAGGAGGGTCATGCTGTGCACTCAGAGAGGGCATGCCTCGGGGAAGAAAAGGGCCACTGCGCTCCACCTTTGGGTCACGGACAGCAACCGCACGTTTTCTTTTGGACCGGTTGCCGTGGACAATGCTGCGGATTGGTGCTCGCCAGCACCCTGCTGCACTCGGATGGCAGTTTGCATCTTTTACAAGCGAGGGGCAACGGTGAATGCCGTGTCATCTCACTTTCCCGCCTGACGGAGGAACTGAGTGCAATCAATTCCGTCCTCAGTACCTGGGCGCAAAAGGACATTTTCTTCTCCAGCTTGTCTACACCCACGGCGTGTCTGGTGGCAGTGATTTGTCCGATGTGGCCAGTGATGACACGTGGAACGACGAGTGCCGTTGCCTGCATGCGGCAGTGACGGAACGCAGTGAAGGACAGCGATGGGTTACAATTGACGGGACTTGAGTCCAGGGCAATATGGCCTGTGAACACTCGGAGTGATAAAGTGCGTCATGTATTTTTGAGCCACCACTTCACACTTGTGGCGTCGGTGAGCATAGAAGAGACTCCGACTGGGAACACGCCTCTACTGACTGCGGTGCTGGCGCACACTGCGTCCAATCATACTATGGGACTGTCGTGCAGCCACAATAAGAAGTGGGAGACGGCGTTCGAAGGCAAGACAACAACACGGAGCAGCAATCGGGAGCCGAGGAAAGAATACCAAGTGGGACTCATGCTGCAATGCAACAAGACCTCTGTGCACATTGATGGTCGGTCGCTGGGAGAGGAAGAGGTGCTGTTAGCAGGCGAGAGGCCACCTGAGGTACTGAGGGTTCGCTTTGGTGCGTGCGGTGGGCACGAATCTCGTTTGACGGTGACGGACGTCTTTCTGTACAGCCGCCCACTGAATTCCACTGCGATGCGTGCACTCAAGGACAGCGTCCCCGCTCCGACGAGAGAAGCGGCTCCGACACCGCCCGAGAGGATTCGAGTGGTTGACAGCGTCAGTGAGCACGTTGCTGGGGATATTACCGAAGGGAAATGAATGGGCGCGACGCCCCTGGAAACGAATCCCTACTACAAACAGTCACCTCACAGGGTGTGGAGCGGCTTGAGTCCCGACGACCGCCTCGCCTCTCTCAACGAAGTGAAATTGACACTGCGTGATTTAGGCGGTAACAACACCGTGCGTGAGTGACTGTCTTGTGTGTTGCTGCTTCTAATGGGATTGTGTTTGGGTGGTGGCAGACTTCTGAGCCACAGAGTGTGGATCCGCGGCTTCTCACCTAGAATACATGCCGCATTGCCCGCGCTTTTTTACTTATCTTTTATTTCTTCAATGTTTTTACTTTTAAATGTCTTTTTAATGCAGTTCAGATGTAGTAATAAGTACTGTTGTTTTTCCTTTACGTAATGTCCGGCTGATGCACACTGTAATGAGCGAAGTGTTTCCCGCTCTTGCTTGCTTTTCTTTTTGCCCACACGTTGTGCCGGCCCTGCGGCTGTGGAGTCCCACGGACTGCACGGAACGAGGATTGGAAGAACAGGCCGGATGCCGCGTGAAATGTTGGGGATGTTGTGTGGGCTGGTGAAATAATAATGCAATCTGTTTTTATTCTTTTAATTTCCCTTTTCCTTCTTGGTGCGGGCAATATGTATATACACAAACACACAGTCGTATTGTTGTGGTCGACAAATGAAATAAAAGTCCTGCAAAATCAATTTTTCCATTAATTTGTTGCTTTTGGGAGTCATGCCGGACTCTCGTCTTTTTTATTGTTTCTTTCATCCCTGCGGCTTGTTTCTGTAGTTACCGTATCTGCTGTCACTTTGCGTCTCTGCTTCCTGTTGAGTGTCCCTTTGCTGGCTGTGCTGTTGACATGCCTCATTTTTTCTTTCCTGCTAGAGGCACTGATAGTCCGCGACGACGATTGTTTGTGTTCCCCATTGCGATGGCACGAGGGTGACTGGGCGCCGGCCTGCTGAGTGCACTCGGAGGAGAGCGGACTGTGTGCGCCGTGCCTCACTGTGAGTGTGGGACGCCACTAGCCGTGCGGAGAGAAGTAAATGGCTGTGCGGTATTTAATTCCAATGTGTCGGGGAAGGGAGAAGTGAAGGACAGCGCCGTGGAGTTGGATGCGTCCCGTCCCTCTCGTTGCCGCCGTGTGTGTGCTGTGCGCATGGCACTACCTTGCGGTGCGGCGTGGATGGCGTTGCTTTTTCGTGCCCTCGTATGTTTGTTGGGTTTCTCCATTCCATGACACCGCTCTTGTGTGTGGGACAGTGAATGGAGTGGAGATGTATGAGGGTGGCCGTTGTTTCCGCACATTTGCTTCTTCCACACACGTGGCACCACTCGGCAGTCTCTTGCAGCACCCAAGCCGTGGATTGGGAGGATGTGAAAGTCCGCTTCAATTACAAGGACGAAAAGATGCGGCGCATGACGGCCAACCTGGTCCGCGTGTGGTCGCAGTGCATGGAGCACGTGCGCCAGTACTTGTTGGGCGTTGCGCTCATGATTGTGGAGGAGAGGCGGCACGACATTGTTGCGCTGTGTGTGTTGCGCGGCCGTGGCATGCCGGCGATTGTGAGGGACGTGGAGGACACGGAGCTGCTGGACTGAGGGAGGTGGCGTACGTTGTGGCGCAGCGGGAGCGCATGACGGCTGCGTGTGGTGGAGGGGCGCGTTTTGAAGTGAGCGTGGCGTGCCTGTGAGGGACTGAGAGGGAGTAACAGCAACAGTGACTGTGGGAGTGTGAGGAACGGTGCAAGGCGAGGAGCGCTCCTCTTTTGTTTTGATTGTTGGTGAACCGCACCTAACTAATTGTTGTTGTGCGTGACTCTCATTGCTGGATGGGACGGTGCGTGGTGTAGCGGCCGTGACTCTTTTTTTGCTTTCACTCTGCATTGACGTGTTGTTAGTTTGTGCTGAAGGCTGCACGCAAGTGACAGGAGTGATGGCGATGATGATGGCTGGCCGTGTGCTGCTGGTGTGTGCCCTCTGCGTGCTGTGGTGCGGTGCCGGCGGAGGTTGTGAAGAAGGGGAGGTTGCAGTTGTTGCCGGTAGTCCTGGGAATGTTAGTGTAGTGACACCGAATTCACAACTTGAATTGCCACTACTGGAAGGTCAGGCATCAAATATACAATCACCAAAAGTTGGAAAAGAACTTCCCACTGTTGCGGGAGTATCTTCGGAAATAACTGAAAAAAATAATGCAGGAGGAGGAGGAGGAGAAAATGAAGAACTTCAAGAACGCCAACGACAAGGCCAAGCTGGTGGAATACGTCATGATGGACAAGATGGAGCACACAAAGAGGAGGATCGGCAAGAAGAACAAGAGGAAACTAAGAAAAAAAGAGTAAAAGACCAAAACAGCCATGAAAGCGATCCAGTGAAATTGGCAGAGTTGCCTTTAAACCAAATAAAAGACTCACCGTCACATTCATCGAATGATGTTGAAAAGAGCGACAAAAAGATATCCGGAATTGCCACTCCACTAGGAAATGGAGATCAACTGCAAGATGCATTGCGTCCGTTGCCGAATGCATCAACAACACTTTCAACGGAGGAAAATACATCATTTTATTCTACTGGCAGCGGTGGTGATGACAACAGTCACGAGAAAAATAATGACGCGAATAATGCCCCACAGTCTTCTTCCACCGGAATAGAACAACAAGACACGGAACCTCATGGGAAAAGTATTACTTTCACAGACAGCGGGGAAGCATCAAAATTGCCAGTCACAACCGTCACCAAAACAAGCGATACGGTGGCAGCTGGCGGCACTCCCTCAGCAGCCATGGCCTTGCAGCATAACACTGGAATGGAGGACATTCCGGCCACCCCTGATTCGAGCCAACCATCCACTGGAGGCGCAGAACAACCCAGTGCGACTCCCGATCGTGAAGAGGCATCAGACAGCACAGAGAATGGGATCTCTCAGAGTGCAGGATCAGCAACAGAAGCAATGACGACAGCCAAAACAAATGATACGACGACGCCTGTCGACAGTGACAGCAGCACCGCGGTCTCCCACACCACCTCCTCTCTTTTGCTTCTTCTTCATGCGGCTGCGGCTGCGGTGGTGGCCGCGTGAGAG